CAAGCTTCTTCTCGCTCAGCCGGTACATCTTCTCATCGCCAGCGTCGACGGTATCACACACGGCTTCCATGCGTGACTCGAGGAGTGCTCTCGTCTTGGGGCATCGCAGAGCTTCGGACATGTGAGAAGACGATGTTGAAACTGCATCGAAGTGGTCGTCGCTTGAAAGGAACAGTCGCTTCGTGTCCGTTGACTTGGCGGTACCAAATAGGCCTGGAACTAGTAGGAACAGAGGGTCCACGGCCGTTGCGACAAACAGGTCGGCGCCATTGGTGACTTCGGCTTCAAATCGAGATCCGTCCTTTGCTTCCGACTCCTCCAGTGTGCCAGCGGGCCCCTCAATCATCCAGCTCCTTGGTGTCGTCTTCGGGGCAGCAACCTTTGTGAACTCGTAGATGCCTGTCTCCGGGCAAAGCAAATAGCGGGTGGGCTTGGAGTAGCGAGGGTTGGGAAGAGAGACTATGCGAGCCTCACGCGTAGCTTTTTGGGGGATGATGAACAGCTGGGGAGCACTTGACGACTCTTCGGGTAGAGTGTATTTGGCCGTCGAGGAGGCATTGCTCGACTCTGTCTTTGCCGCCGGTGCGGCTTTGGTCGCTCTTGTTCTCGCCATGGTGAAGATAATGTGTGTATAGGAGTTAGGTTGATGATGTTCAAGGAGTGATTTGCACCAAAAACAGACCAATTGACCTAGAAAGAACGGCTGTGAATTGTGTAAGAGGTCGCAAGAAAGATCTGGTGGTGCGTTGAAGGTTGAATGGGAGCAGCCAAGCTGATGATGGTCAAAAGTGAGTGGGACGGAGATACCTGGTACTTTCCTCTGAGATCGGTCTTCTTTGGACTTAGAAGTTAATAGGACCCTTTCTGTCTGTGCTGTGCTCTTACGCGACGACGCGCCGGGTTCAATTAAAAAGTGGATCGCGTCTCCTGGGGTTTGACGCGACTACAGCCAATGGCAACATGGCAAAGCCATCGACGACTCCACGTCAAACTCCTCTTCTCAGGCTAGTCTGACCAGGCTTATCGTGACGACGAAGTTCAGATGCGACAATTCGATAACGATTTCGAGGCATCCTTACCGCACTATTCGCACTCTTTGGTTTATTTTGTTTTAGGCGGTCATTTGGCTCACCAACTTCGACGTCACTCCTTTAGCCGCATTTCACGCCCTTCTCATCGGTCGCTATCGTCTCCTTTTCTTTGTCCGCTTCCTGTTTGTTTGCCAGCACAGACCCCTCGTCTCGACTTTCATTCGAGTCTTGCGCCAGACGAAGCTGACAAGGCCGGCTGGCGGGTCATGGGCTTGTGGCGTTAAAGCTCCATCAAGTGGTCTTTTCCGGAAGGCGGACTGGATATACGACAGCTACGCTCTCGTCTACACCATTGTGATACCCCGGCAAGATGCCTCCTGGTTCGTAATGAATTGACATTCTAAACGATCAACATCATAACATCAACGTAGCCCCCCCGCCCGACGAGCCTCAATGGCCTCCCCGATCTCCTCACGAAGCCCTCATTAGCACCCCGAGCGGTCGCGAGCGCCTCAGACGTCTTCAAAATCGAGGATCACCCTCTCCTTCGCCGTTGAAGAGGGGACGAGCGAACTCTACCTTATCTGCCCGATCGGCGAATTTGATCGACGAAATGGACGACCAGGAGGACGAGGATGAGGAGACACTTCAGTTGAAGTTGCAGGAGATTCAGGCAAGATTAAAGTTGAAGAAGTTGCAGAGCGCAAGGGAGAGGACGGAAGCAGCTCCACCGACTCAGACGCGACCAACCTCGAAAGGTTTTGGAGTTGGCCGGGCACTATCCCGACCTGAAATCCAGGCCACCATCGAGGTGCCTGTATCTCCAATCCGAAAGACTCAGCCCGCACCACCAAAAGCATCGCCGACCCGGGTTCCGCTTGGAATCGACAAAGGGATTAAAAGAGCACCAAGTGTACTGCGGAGGAATACAAATTCCCAGGATGGGCAGCAGCAGTTCGGCGGTTATCTTCAAAGGTCACGGACTCCTGCTCAACAAGAGGTATCACGACCGCTGAGCTTCAATGAGAGGCTGGCCGCAGCAAGAACGCAAGAGGTCGACCGACAGGGATTGAGGGAAAGAATCCAAAAGGTCAGATCGGAGACTTTTGATATTGGGCAGAAAGAGATTGAGCAGTTCAAAGAAAAGGCGATTGACATTCCCGAGCAAGAGGAAGCTGCGCCGAGTTTCTCCAGAGATGAGATCCTTGGTGGAATGAGCAGAGCAGAACCCAACCAGCGCAAGCTAGACACAATACCTGCTCTTCCAGCACCATCATCCTCCAAAGATGACGATGACCCCCAAGGTCTCTACGAGCCTCCACCGGACTGGATGATGGCTGGACAGAAATCACAGAGACCGAAGAAGGTCGCGCCAGCAGACGTGCCAGAGGCCGAAGCATCGGCATTTGAACCGTACTCCAGCTTTCATCTCTCACAGCGCATTCTTCCCCACCAAGTCTTGACAAGGACTCTGTCTGGAAAAAAGATATTCAAATTGCCCGACTTGCTGCGGAAGGTTAAAGCTCCAGAGTTTCAGCTCCCAGACATTGAGCAGGACATTGTCGTATTCGCCGTCGTCGCAAAAAAGTCAGAACCCCGCTCTCACAAGCCTCGGGCTGACCAAAATGGCAAGCAGTCAGACCGAGGGAAGTACATGGTCGTCACATTATGCGATCTGAAGTGGGAGCTTGAGCTTTTTCTCTTCAACTCAGGATTCACCCGATTTTGGAAGCTCACAGAAGGCACAGTGCTGGCGATTCTGAACCCGACCATTATGCCACCTCCAGTTGGCAGAGAAGCCACTGGAAAGTTCAGTCTGGTGATCAACTCTGATGCCGACACAATTATGGAGATTGGAAAGGCCCGAGATTTGGGATTTTGCAAATCCATCAAGAAAGATGGCGACTTCTGCAACTCCTGGGTCAACAAGAAACGAACCGAGTTCTGCGAATTTCATACCAACGAAGCTGTCTCCAAGCAGCGAGCAAGTCGCATGGAGGTCAACACAATGGACTTTGGTGGTGTTGGAGAGAAGTTCAAGTGGAAATCGAGACAGCTTGTTAACCCTGAGGCCGAGAAGAAGTCGGGGAAGTACGACCGAGAAACACATAGCCATTGGTTCGCTACGAAATCAATGAGTTCTGCGTCACTCATTGACGGAGGCCAGGCACTAATGGACAGAAGAGAAAAAGAAGAGAATCTGAAAAGAAGGATGATCGCCCAAGAACGGGAGAGGGGCATCATGTCGCGTCTGAGTAAGATCGGCGCCGGCACTGGCAAGGAGTACATGCAACAAACAGATCGCAACCGTAATCATACCTCCTCGTCAAACTTGCCATCATCCTCGTCAGCTTCCAACGTACTCGGGGCGCGACAGAAGCCTGACATGAAGAGTTTAGGCATCATGCCGAGGAATAGGGAACTGGCCCTTCACCTCAGCCCAATCAAACGCAAGAGACCACAGAGTGCGCAATCCAGCTCCTCGGTCGGGGCGCCCCCGTCGGCGACGGCCGCGACAGGGCTAAAGACTGGTTTCGGATGGGGCGGCAACCTCAAGGACAAACTCGCCAAGATGAAGGAAGGTGAAAAGCTGAATAGCGATAAGCCGCCGGTGAGGAAGAAAACGAGATTCGTGACGGAGAAGGGGATTCGCGAGGCTGGGAGGGAGAGTCTGGGTATGGACCTGCCGCAGGCGGTGTCTTTTGAAGATGACGATGACGACGATTTGATTATTGTGTGAAAGCAGCATTTTTGGGAACGGGTTCATGCGAAGGCGACACTGGTCGGACGGACGGGACGGGAAGGTATGGGCTTGAGGATATAAATGGGGCTTTCCCCGTAACTCCTGGATGGAGTCCGCTTGAAGCGATTACGGTTACCAAATCAAGGTTACAGAAAAGGGTTTCAAGACAGGATATCACGTCAAAATAGACACTATTTTGATCGTAGCCTGGTTGTTTATTTAGTACCTTGTGTGATCACATCTGGCTAAGGTACAGTAGACTGCCTCTCTCTGTGTTACATCAATGATACGACCGAGGAAGCGTATCCGTCGCTATTTAGCTACACTTAAGCATATGATCCCCATCAGAGAGATGTCTAAGAATTACGTCGGGAGGTGTATGTGATTTCCATGGAATGCCTCTCATTCACCATTCAGCTTCTTGTAAATTGTCTTCGTAGCCATAAGTCGCCAATCCTTACTCAATCTCTTCACCAAAGACTATCAATCTGTCTTCTTCATATTCCAAAAATCAACGACCCTTTCACTCGTCTTGGTGAGAGAATTGCAGAACAACAAACACCACACAACAAAATAAAAAAAACAGCACGTTACCCTGCCCGGCCTACGAGCCGCGGTATTCGCTCTTCTCGCCGCTCGAAGCGTGAAAGCTGCCGGAAAAGTCTTCTGCGCCGACGCAGAAAACATCGTGGTTCACCACACGAGCTGCGATGATGCCCACCGCGGCACCTTCTTCTTGTTCGCCAGTGAGAAGGAATATTCGATTGGCAGCGCCGTCGATCCAAAGGTCGCCGATTTATACGATAGTGCCGACTTTACTGACCGCAAGTACGCTAAAGAGCAGCGTGAGCTACGAGAACGAGACTTGGTGTCAAGAGGTTTTGGAAGTGTGACGCCACGGGCGTGCGGTAGCTAGATTGACAGTGAGAAGAACGATCGGAAGCAGAGAATAATAAAAAGGGAAATAAAGAGAACAAGAATAAAAAAAAGAAGCTGCCTGTGGCCTTATGTAGGACCACCAAACTCGAACTCGCGCTCTTGCCGAAACCAGGCATTCTCTTCCACCACTAGGTCATTTACACATCAGGCGGTGCTTCTTGCTTTATCATTACACTTCAACTGAACATAAAGCCTCGATGGTGATTGTGTTGTATTCTATGATGGAATACTGCGGAATATAAATACCAGAGTATACGTCTGTGAATACCACGCGCGGATCCCCACTCTCACGTCTTCGACACAGCCACGTAACTCGGCGGCCTTGCCTCTTTACTCTTCCCCCAATCAGATTCTTTATCTGCCAGCGTCAGCTCCAATGTCTTACCCTGACTGAAGAACTCATGTCCGATCCAACTCTTGGTATAGGCCTCCCCGTCCAGCTTGGCACTCTGCACGTAGATGTTCTTGTACGCTGCGTCAAACCCGACACATTTGATGGTGGCATTCTTCCCCGTAACCGGAATTTTGACACTGACTTCCTCAAAAAACGGCGGTGTGATAAGATACACGTTTTGTCCCGCAACCGGGAATAGACCCATGACGGAGAATGCAAGGAAGGCCCCCATGGCGCCCGAGTCGTCGTTACCCGGCAACCCGCCACGCGAGGAGTTGAAGGCCGAGGGGATGTACTTGTGGATGCGTTCCGCTGAGAGGCCTGGGCGACCGGCGTAGTGGTAGAGATAGACGGTCAAGAATACGGGCTCATTGGAGATGTCGGCCAGGGGCGATGCGTGGAAGTAACTGAGGCGAGAGACGAAGGCGTCGTCGCCGCCCATGAGATCGATGAGAGTTGACGTGGAGTGAGGAACAATGCTGAAGACATATTAGCTAGATTGCAATCGCAAGCAGTCGGAGTGGGCACTGACAATTGATATTGCCAGATGCTCGCCTCGAACGTCTCGCTTGGATTTGTCGTCAGGGAGCAGAACCCAGCGAGATTCGAGCAAGCTATGGGATCTTGGAAGCCCCATGTTCCATTCATGTACTTAGGCTGGAAGAAGCCAGAGAATCCGGTGTCGGTGCCATTGATCAAAGACTTTTGGTCTTCTTTCCACAAGTTCTGCCAGTTCATGCTTCTCGCGATGTACTTGTCGTGTAATTGACCCTCTCCTAGTCCCTGAGCTAGGGTCGCAAGGCAGTAGTCGTTGTAAGAGTATTCCAGAGTCCTCGTCACGCTCCGTGAGTTTGTGCCGAACCCGATCGGGTCAAAGTCTAGATACGGGATATAGTTGAGGGTCTTCCAGCTGGTGAGGCCGCCGCGTCCCTCGTAAGACCACTCCAGGGGTTCGTCCTCTGCGTCTTTTGTTATGGCCGCGAGAGCCACCTTCCAGTCAATCGAGGTCAAGTTTTTGACGTAAGAGTCAACGATGACGACGTCGGCATTGGAGCCTCCTTGAGTCCAACCTTTGCAGAGAGACATGCGACAGTCTGGCAACCAGCCTTCGTGCTTGTAGATGTCCAGCATGGAGTTCACCATTTGCGCCTGAGCTGCTGGATCGATGACGGTAAGCAAGGGGTGCTGAGCACGAAAGCTGTCCCACATGCTGCACATCGTTAGAGAAGGGGATCTGGAGACATGAAATGAATGGAAGCTTGCCAGTAAAATGAATCAAAGTAAGGGATTCCGCTGTCCCAATGCGGATTCTCGCCAGTGTAGTTCTGAGGAGAAATCATGTTGCGGTATAAGCCGCTCCAGAAACTCTTTTGCAAGTCTTCCGTTGCGCCAGCCGCCTTGACTGAAACGGGGCTCAGTTTCTCTCTCCAAGCGTCCTTTGCTGTCTTCACCAGCGTATCAAAGGTGTTCAGCGGATCTGGAATCTCCTTCTCTGCATTACGGCATGCCTGATCACTGCTTTTGAACGAGACTCCCACCCTGGCAGTGACAGTGTCATTGGTCAGCTCCTTGAAACGTACGAAGCCGCCACCCTCGAGATAGAACAGGTTGAACCCTCTAGTGACGAACAACTCCTTGGGCTCGTTACCAGCTCTGTTATTGACCCATACTCCAGTATCAAAGACCTTGGCTCCAAAGAAGTCGACGCAGTAGTGAAGCGTGTAAGAGCCAGCACCGAAGCTAGGCAGGAATGTGCCGTTTCCAAACATTCTCCCTGTGGGCGTATCGATCTTGATCGACGCATTCTGCCTACTCGCCCAAAGATCCGTCAAGTCTAACAGCATGAGCGGATGGTCGCTTCCGCCGCTCGGGAACTTGAACCGCATGAGCGCCGCGTGCTCAGACACCGTCATGTCCGCCTTCACGCCAGAAACAAGCTCGACGGAGAAGTAGCCCGGCTCGGCGATGGTCTTGTTCACGTCATGCTGCGTTGCCCGGTCACCGATGCGGAATCTACAGTTATTGAGCTCGTCGCCGGGGCAGATCTGCGGGAAGAGCGGAAAGTTGCCCAGGCTGGGGTTTCCGCCGGTACCGCTGTCGTGGACGATACTGAAGCCGGTGATGTTGCTCCCGTCGGTCGAATAACCACCCGTCTTCTCCCCGTCGACGTCGGCTACGGCCTTGGCGAGGCCGTACGGCAGTGTCGCGCCGGCGAAGACGTTTCCGCCGCGTTGAGAGCCGATCAAGGGGTCCACGAAGGCCAGAGGATCGAACAATTGGCAACATCCCGCCACTGCAAAGGCAATGAGTGGCGCGAGGAAGCGCATGGTTTACATGCGACGAGAGCGCGCTGGAAGGAAACGAATGAACTACTTCTAGAACGGCATTCAACGCTCAAGTAGTACTCTCGAGAAAGAGAGTCTGTATTGTTGAGTATTGTCCGTCTAAGCAGAGCCAACACCAAAATCCGAAGCTGCGCAGTCTGTGTCGAAGTTGAGTTCTAGATGTCCGACTAAGTCGTCGAAGAGCTCAATTTCATTTCCTTCCATTACCTTGCCTCATGCATGATGACCGGACGGCAATCCCGGCCGCAACATCGTCCGACTTGATTAGCAAAGTTTAGTTCTTGACCCCGCACAAAGGCTCTATGCGGTAGGTGGTACTAGATTCGACGATCCCGTGTGGAAGATCACGGGAATAAAATGAACGTTACATAGAGTAGTTAGCTCAGTTGCATCCTTTGGTTCAAGCCAGAATATGGGCAGGGCTTCGCGGTGACTAAATAGCTTAGAAATGGCAAAACCGACACTGCCCTTCCTGTTATTCTCCCTGCTACGTATACTTGCTCGCTCGCTTCCCGTGTTGAATGCCAAATGCAGCGCCGTATATGGCGTTGGATGATTTCGTATAATCTTCATCATTGGATCCGTCCGGGATACTGGACGGCACTTGTTCGATGAGTTGGTTCAGTCGAGCGCTAACGAACGGTAAGGACCGAAGTCTCACATACCCATATAAACATGGGAGAATGACAAGTGATAGGGGAAGACTAGACTCGCAAGACAACCCAGGAAAGCGAAGACTAATATGTCACTAGGCTGATGTGAAGCTGGGTGCTTTTGGTACACCTTCATGTTCCTAGGTCTGAAAGATGGTAAAAATACGCGAGGTGTTTATATTCCGGAAACCATCTTGTTTGAAGCTATGGAGTGATCTTCCTGGGAGCCCGCACACTGTGAGGCCCCTAGCTCGTGTCAGTTACAGGGATAGCACGGCCCCAGACATCTCCACTGTCTAGGGCCCGTTCATGTCTCGTTCGCAGCTTTTGGCAGCTCTCTCTCGTCCCTCTACATTTGTAAGTGGCTCAATCTTACTCAGTCCACGTTGAGTCAGACTGCCAATATGACAATGGCTTTACATAAGTTACGCGTCCACGCGAGAGAGAGAAGCAATCATCCGAACACTAGGCTCCTCAACATCAGACGAACGCAATGAACTAAAACGAGACGTTTGGAAGAGCCCCTTGGGAGGTTGTGCGCCCGAAACACTCCATGCTCCAGCTCAGCCCCCGGAAAATCACCCCGTGCAAGATGGAGAAGGACACCTGGAACTTCGAAGTTTAACGACTTCAACTCCACCTCACGGGGCTTTCGCTCTTAATCTCGCCTTTTACCACAATCTCACATCGAAGCCGGCTTCATTTCATACCCTACCCAGTATCCTTCACTCTACGTGTCTGCCAGTGTGCAAAGATTGGGAATCTAGGACCCAGCCGCCAGCCACGTATCCGCCACGATGCTGGACATCTACCAAGTCAATCTCGCCGGCCTCCTCCTCGCCTGCGGCGTTCTCTTTGCTTCGGGAAGCCAACACAAATCCGACGCCTCGAAGAAAGATGGGAAGAAAAGTTCTCAGCAGAAGCCAAAGCAGACAGGCTCTCAATGGGCCTTCTACGTCGTCTACGCCCTCGTAATGGGTTCAGACTGGCTACAGGTAGCTCGCCTCTCACATGCATGCTCCGGATCTAACGATGGAACCTCCTGACATGGCAACACTAGGGACCGTTTCTGTACTCTCTTTACAAGAACGAGCACCAAATATCCGCAGACTTCGTGCCAACGCTCTTCACAACCGGCTTCGTCTCCGGCGCTGTGGCCGGCTACTTCATCGGCTCACTAGCCGACCGCCACGGCCGCAAGGCCAGCTGCCTCTTCTTCTGCGCCGCATACGCGCTCTCCTGTATTCTCACCACGATACCCAGCGTCCCGTTGCTATTCGTCGGCCGCGTACTCGGCGGCCTGGGAACGAGTCTCCTATTCAGCGTCTTTGAGAGCTGGATGGTTACAGATTTCCACGCCCGCCGTTTGGGTGAGAAGGGCATGGACCTTTCCCGGACTTTCGGTCTGATGAGTACCGTCAACAGCATTGTCGCGATTGTGAGCGGTGTGGTGAGCGAGTGGCTCGTCTCCGTGACTGGGACACGCAAGTCGCCTTTCTTGGCCAGTGTCGGGCTCCTGGTCGTTGCTGCTGGTGTTATTGCTAGCCAGTGGGTATGTTGCTACATCTCATCCTATGCTATTGCTACTTTCTGACTGACGGAATGTGAAGGATGAAAACTATGGCTCGGCAGGCCAAGCTTCTTCATCGGAAAAGTCCAACGCCAATAAGCCTGGTCTTTGGGCCACAATGACGGACAAGCGCGTTCTCACAATCGGTCTCGCCTCAACCATGTTCGAAGGTTCAATGTACCTCTTTGTCGTACTGTGGTCCCCGGTTCTCGTCTCGGCCTCATCTTCACCCGAGGCACTGCCATACGGCATCATCTTCGCCTCCTTCATGGCTTCAACCCTCCTCGCCTCTCTGCTGTACCCCCGCCTCCTCGCCCTCGTCTCCACGCCATCCCGGCTGCTGCTATCGGTCCTGTTCGCCGCCAACGCCGTATTTTTCGCTCTCGGAACGGGCGCCCCTCGCGCGGAACAAGTGACTTTTTGGCTCTTCTGCCTGTTCGAAGCCTGCGTAGGGTTGTATTTCCCCTCGATGGGGTATCTCAAGGGGAAAGTTGTCGACGACGGTGTCAGGGCACAAGTGTACGGCGTCCTGAGAATACCGCTCAATGTCTTTGTGGTTGTGAGCTTGATGTTTAGCAGCGATGGGCAGGCGGGCAAGGTGTTTCTCGTCTGTGGCATGCTCCTCCAGGCGAGTTGCGGTGCGCTGTGGCTTATGGGCGGACAGGATGTGTAGGTAGCTATCAGTTGCGTTGTCGCCTTCATGCGACGATCTTCTCGTCTTTATTTAGAAATTGATTGGTCTTGGCCTTTACAAGAACAAGAACCTTTACGCCATAGTCCTAGTTGCCAGTCCTCCGTGCAAAGATAGCCCCATCCTCACCGACTGACGTCTACTTAAGCGCCCGGAAGACACATCAGACGGACCTTTCGGGCCGTTAAGCACAACCTCGCTTGTTCGCCCTGGTCTTGGGTCTCGTTGTGCCAGGGCTTGGTGTTCTTGTGTCCTGGTGTTCGTATTTGACATGTTCTCACGTCCAACGTTCCGCAGTGTATATGTGCACATCGTGCTTCTCAAAATGAGCAAATGTGTGTAGCATAAACCCCAAGGCGGGCGGAAATTTCAGTCATCTGACAGACCAGACAGGCACAGGAATGCAAGAATGGCAGAGTATGTCTTAAGCTCAAACCATTGGCAGGGCTTATTGGTGTCTATTATCCTATCACTACCTTACTAAGTACAAAATGCGCTTCACATTATTACCAAACGCCGGACCGAAAGCGACAAGCAGAGAAGTACCGGCATCTCATTCACTCACAGAGAAACAAGAATCTGACAATCGCGAACAATTCTGTATGTTGAAGACACATCCCTCTCTTGGGAATAACGTTAGCCATCTAATACCAGTCAAGTGACAGAGGTCGTAGCATTGCGGGTCTACTCCGCCTGGTACCCAGCGTCGGAAGTTGGTCCGCAGAGTCCGATGGAACGATCTCTTGGTCTTCAACTTCAATCTTCAAGCTTGGGACGTGGTCTAGCGGCGTTGTTGTGCCATCCAGCTGTTCAGAAGTTTGTCAGTCTCACATGGTCTTCTTGAGACTGCGCATCATATGAGAAGGAGATAATTGCGACGGTTATACTCACCTTGCTAATGACCACTTCTAGCTCGTCTTCAATGCCTCCAAGAACCTCGCTTACCGAACGATCACGCAGGCCAGCAGCATCGACACCTCGGTTTAGAGGAATCTCATCATAACTCTTTCCCTGTCTAGGCATATCCAGTAACGTGAAAGTGCCCGCCATCGCGCCTTTCAAGAAAAGCTGCACTTGACAAGGTAGCTCCAGCTCACTTCTCTCGACTTCGACCTTGGCGACGTACTGCCTTCTCGGAGCCATTTTGCGCCACCTGATCCTCATGAAAGAGGATTGATTCTCCTGAGGACCGTACAGGCTGTTCACCGTCCTGCTGATCGCCATCTTGATGTCTCCTGGTGTTTGGTCCCAGAACCTCATCGGCGCATACGTGTACCCCCAGTCACGGACGTGAGTAACCGATTCGCTGGTAAGCGGACCACCGCCCGTCCCAGTAAAGGGCCACAAGGGGTACTGCGGGGTGACGGTGGTCCCGGATGGCGTGGCGAACATTTCGGATGAGGCATAGGAGAAATGCATTGTGGCATTTTCGAAATGGAGGGCTTGCCAGAAGGCGATGAGGCGATCTACATTGGCGTGATGAAGCCAGCTTTGGACACGAATCAGAGTTGGCGTCACAATACTGAGGAAGGACTCACAATAGTGGCTCAAATGCCGAGGTTGATAGATGGAGGAGATCTTGGCCGCATGCGGCCCCGACATGAACTTCTCCATGAGGTCCTTCAAAGTTGGCGCCTTCGTTCTGGGTAGTGACCATCTCATCAAACGAGGTGGCTTTCAAAAAGACATTGTACTGTAATTGATCAGTACAGACAATCAACTTGAAGATTCATAAGTCTCTTCGGAATCGAGATCATCAACTTACTACCTTTTCCTTCAAGCTGTACCCCGTGAGCCTCGCGTTCGCCGTATCGGGATAGCTTTCACCTTCTCCAACACACCTCTTCGTGTAATTCTTTCCATCAAAGCTGCCGAAGCTACCATCGAGAGCCGACTTCGGATAAGTGAAACGGTAAAATGGATTGCGCGCCGCGACTGGCTGCATGGCGCCGCCCACGAGCTTGTTGATGACAACTGTCGGCAACGCCGTCACGGGCGGGACCTGGGAGTCCGCTGCCCAGTCCCAGTATGCCACGCGTAAACTCTCTGCAGCTTCAACGTATGCTCGTTTATGAGGCTCCGGGTAAGTGTTCGCGATACGCTTGGCGTAGCGGACCAGCACTTGCTGGAACAAGTAGTCAGTTTTCACACGGTAAATGAGTCTTCATGTTTGGAAAATAGATCGCACGAACCTCGTAAAGCGAGAGATATCCGCGATGCCAAGTGCCAAACAGTCCTTGCTTGTTGATGTTAGCAAGAAAATCAACACTTCCGCTATCAGACTCTGAAGACGTACGTTGTGTGGGCAATATCCAGCTTGCGCCCTAGTCTTTGGGCCCCCTCCCGACCACGCCATGTACGGCTGTCCATGAATGCCTGCGATTGTCAGCGAAACATTTTGATGATAGAGGGTCTTTATAGTGACAAACCAGCGACCTGAAAATAAGATATGGAATCGGTTTCATTCGCGTCCTGCATAGCTGTGAGGGCTCCAACGTATAAGTCCCTAAGTGTTTGTGAGAAACATGGCTTCCATCATCAAGTTCTGGTCCTACCATTGCAGTCCTGCTTCTCCGTATATGCTATTGATGTTTCTTCTTATCGGCAATTCCCCAGTTCGAACGTTGATACCGGATCTTATTCTAACAATAGGATACTCTTGCGCGATGATAGTATATGGCGCAGCTAGCAGAATGCCAAGAAGAAGTGATAACGTCGAAATCATTGTGTGTTAATACAGTTTCCGTTAAGGCAATTCGAGACAGATGAAGGAAGCAAATACGTCTTCATCAAAACATCGGGATCTTACCGCGACTTTATCCTTCTTTTACACAGAGCAGTCAAGTTGCCCCCTTCCGAGACTTTGAAGCAAACGAAAAAGCCGTCGGATCCGATCCATGATCCCGTGCTGTCACCAACCTTGTATCATAACCCAGAATGTGGGAAATTCATCATGCTCGTGCACCTGCCACCGCCTAGCGTTGCGCGACATGGTGGCGATGTTCGACGATGTTACTCTACCTCCATCTATCTTGTATGGAGGAGGTGGACGCATGATCAGCTGGTGACGGCCCTGGGAGAGCTTTCGCATCCAGGAACAACTGTAGGACTAACTTTTCGATAGTATACCAAAATAGATACGGCGCGTGTTTGTATCACAACACCGTCAAGGGCCGCGCTGTAGGGGCCTTCTCCTTTTTGATGAGTCTTTGCTCATCTAGGCAACATTGGTGATAGACATCATCCTGAAGCGGGAAACCTCGGTCGCTCCGCGTTTTTGAATCCAGAATCACTAAGGGTGACTGCTGGCATACAATTAAATTGGGAAAACAGCATAGATGGAGCGGTCAGTACTGCCGTCGCTGCGGCTTTGCTATGGTCTCTAATACGAGCGTCGTTGAGCGTCTCCCTCTTGGCGCTGATTTGTAGCCTGAACGAACGAATGATGGCCACAACCTCCGTCTGTGTCACGACCAGAACCACCAGTTTCTGTTTGCGCCATGATGCCGTCCTTCAGAGATGCAGCCAGCCGGCTGGTGTCACAATGCGAAGCCACGCCGTTACTCAACTTTCTCCCTTTTTTCTCTTTTCCTTCACCGCTCTCGGAGGAGCTCTTCAGAAGCGCCGCTTTATGAAGATGGAAATGCATTGGCTGGGGAATACGATGTCTTATTCCCCCAAGAAGGCGATTTTTATGCTGCACGAGGTGTACGAAGCGCTCTGACGTGGCAGATATCAGGTTATTCAGCGGCTAAGGAAGAATTGTCGCCTGTGATGCATGCCTTCACATGTCCCTTCATATGCCATGGATCATGTGTTGTGGCAACTTTGGGGGGGAAGACACAACCATCGCGGCTGTTGCGATCACAACACATGACGTGAGAGCAATTGGCAAATTTTCATTATATCAAAGGGTTGCTTAGTTGGCCAAATCTCATATTTCACAGCGGTATGCTCATGATATCAAACATTGTAGAATATAGATCCTAAGAGAACAAATATTTGCCTTCAGCAAGACAACTTTTCGCTCAACCGAGATGGAAAAAAAAAACCCGAGGCAGACCTGTCCGTAACAGGCTTGCCTAGTGGAACTCCAATGACCATCTCAAATAAGCCAAATTTCTGCACCAAAAGAGCCCTTTATGCAAATCCGTAAGCCAACAATCTCATCCACCTCCTGCTCGACTCAGAACCAAGTAATGGCTCGTGAGCGAGTGTTTGTTTAGTTTTGAGTAGAAATCCGGTGCCAGAGTAGGCGGTTGGTCTCATAGTGACTTCTCAAGAACGACTAGTTCACGGAATCCTTCTTTCCACTTCTTCATCTGCTCGGCCGTGGGCTTCGGCAATGGGCTCCGGGCCACACCACCATAGCCTAGCCACGCCTGGAGGCCAGCTTTCACGCCCACAACACCCCCTTGGATCGCTGTCCAGTCACCTTGTGAGACGATCTCTTGCATATCCTGAGCTTCTCCATGTCTTCCCTCTTGGAAGAGTTCAATGGTTCTGATACAAGCCTTGGGTGCGATGTTGGCCAGGCCTGCGAGGATGCCATGCCCTCCAGCCACCAAGGCCTGGATAGAGAAGTCGGCTGAACCCGCCAAGACGAGGAATTCCGGAGCCTTTGAGTCGGGGTTTTTTGCCAACTTTCTCGTAGCGGCGGCAACGCGGTTCAACTTGCCCGTGTTTCCGCATGTAAGCTTAACACCCACAATGTTGGGATGTTGAGACAGCTGCACAATGACGTCGGAGGATAAATCCATGCCTCCTACTGCGCCAGGAAAGTTGTAGATGATGAGAGGAATCGGCGACGCATCAGCCACCGCATGGAAGTACTCGAAGATGGTTTCCGATGACGGAGCAAAGAGGCCAGCGTAGTATGACGGAGGAAGCACCAGGGCATAGTCTCCACCAGCAGCCCAGGCCTCGGTGCAGTATTGTATCGTCTCACGTGTGCTCTGGCTTCCGCAGCCGACGATGATGGGCATATGAGAAAACCCGGCGTCGTTGAGAGCCTGTCGTGTCGTTGCCGTAACGAGTTGGCGCTCGGCGTGTGAGAGATGGACTGCTTCTCCGTTGGAGCCCTGGGTGGCCAGGCCGGTCACACCCGCATGAGCAAGTCGTACTGCATGGCGAGCAACAGTGTCGATGTCCACGTTTTCCGTACCCGGCTCGAAAAAACACATGGTAGGTACGTAGACACCAGGAACAAGCGGTCGGGTCTCTTGCAGATCAGCGCCAAGTGATGCGCTGTCGTATGAGCTACTAAGAGGAGAATTTGATTCAGCCGCAGTCAGACTTCCAATGTGTAGACTTGAAGAAGAAGTAGTAGGGTTGAAAGGTATTCTGTTGTAGCCGGCTGTGAAACTACCCGCCGGCGAAGGGACATCCTGGTGAGGGGCCATGACTGTTGGGAGAGATTGTAGCTGAAGTTCTTCTTCCAGGTAAGACGACAGGAAGCACGACGTAGGATACACGAAGCGTGGCAGTGGATGGAAATCAAAACCGGGATAATAGAGCAAGATGGTGATGTTTGAACCGAATATAGTATATGCTGTGTCGATCTTGGTTTATGGAGATCCTACAGGTCCTACAAGAAGCCGAGGGAAACGGGAGAAGTGGGAAGGAAGCCTTTTATCATCAAAGGGAAGCAAAAGAAGGAAGGCAGTTAGGCATGATGTGACCCCCATCAAAGGGTGGCATATCCATAGCAGTCTTGCAACAGACCAGTGGCGTCACAAGTCACTTCGTAATTATGGCGGCTCGTAAGTCAGCATCGCCCAAGATGAACAGAATGATACGGGCATCCAACGGATGAACCGGCTCCTGCATACGAGCAAAGCCCTTCTCACTCTCGGACTCAAGGAAAAGACGCACTATGCGGATAGTCATGGGCAAACAGGCCATTCCGAACTGACCAGCAAGGATCACTCCTGGCCAAGTGAAGTAGTACGAAGAAATGCAGCAGAGAACCAGGATGTCGGAGAGACTGAAGTGCCTAGACCAGGGCTTCGCGACACAGTGCGTGGGTTCGAAGGCAGGATCGCTGCTTAGCCATGCAAGAGGCGAGGCCGGCGTCTGCTAGTGGGAGAGATGGAGGTGCGATGACTGACCCCAACCCAGATACGTCTTCTGGGGTATTACGCCGCCTGACGTGGGGGTTAGCTTCGAAAAGGCCCTTGATCTCCAAGTTGCCTCCTTGGACACCTGCAGAATCGAGCATTCCAAGCCGGCATTGCCATCCCGCTAAGCTTCACACCAGAGTAGTCTTGAAGGGTAGACGAATAACCTCCAGATCTAAGGGACCATCCTCCCGATGAAATCTGTGAGAAATGAGCCATGAAAGACCTTGCGACAGCCGCAAGCAGTTCGGTTGTCACTCATGTGGCTCGGTATTCTTAAACCGGTGGGTGAGGCGGCGCCCTTCTCAAGTTTCGGTCTTGTTTTTACCTCGATCCAAGTCCTATCAATGGGTTGATGTTGGAGGCTGGCACGGCGTCTCGACCGGCGCTCATGGGGTCAACCGATCTCAGCAGGCAATACATTGTGATTCGATTCGGGGTATGAGAGATTTTGCTGCATTTGCGCCGGTCATCTTTCTGTGAAAGATATGCTTGACCTGAGTAGTAAACAACGGATCTTAAGAAAGAGGTAAACCATGCTCTGAATAGAGATATCGCGAGACAATCAGGCATGCGCTTCTGCCGTAGGTGCATCAGAGAATGATGTCTGGTTCAGAAAGCCTCGAGTGAATTCCAAAGATTCGTTGTAAAAGAAGCTGGATTGTGAGTCGCCGATTGACACCTGCTCACGTAAGCCTAAAAGAGAGTGAGTGAGAGAGAGTGAGAGAGTGGGAAAAGGGGATTTGCTGATGTCTCCTCCAGATCACCTAAGCCTTCAAAGCTGCCTCATCATATCCCAAATCATCTTGGAATCATTCCGCACCACGAATCCCATGCGCGATATCGAGAGGCATAGCCCTTTCCCCGCAGCCATCGTTTTCTACCGAATCTCATTCATACTGTCTATACAACTCACGCATTTTCGCGCATGGATGAAAAGCAACATCGTCGCTTGTCCCCACCAAATGATTCTGATCTGCCTCATTGAGAGCGTCAAGGACTTTCTATTCGCTGTTTTGTGGCGGAGTTCTTATGAGCCCTTGTATTATGAACAGGGTTCAAGATCAGAGAATGAATAGTATGAAAATAACCTGATTAATATCTATCAAGCCGACAAGTCGAACACGTTCCATGAACACTTTCATTTCGGAGGGGTGGGAGTGAAGATCAAAGCACGGAGTGAGCGACCAGCATCGGACACAATACACCGCTGCAAGTCATGCACACACACGAAGGCTAGCCCATCATGCA